AGGCTATTTGCAGAGAATCTTGCAGATGGTGAGCCAGGCAGCTAAGGAAAGGATTCACCTTTGTCTGATAAATGTCGATTACAAGCAGCTGTAGATCAAACTAAAAGGAGGTAAGCAACCATGCTTAATAACAGTTCTTAATGAGCATGAGAAATACACTTTCAAGAAAGATGAACCTGGAATATTATCATCTAGACATGTTTATTCCTCAAAATTGTGAAAGTTCACTTAATGATATTATGGATGTGCAAAAGTTGAAAATAGAAGGAAATACAGTGGACTTAGGGGAGTTATCTATTGGTGGAGAGGGTCAGTCAAATTATGTTTTCAAGCCTAAAATAGAAATTCAGATGTTTGATGGAACAAACCCAAGAGGTTGGGTAAGAAAATGCCAGAAGTACTTTTCTATCTTTAAGGTACCTGAATATCAGAAGGTAGAATTAGCTACAATGTATTTAACTGGGAAGGCTGAAACTTGGTTTGATGGGTATATAGCTCAGAAGCACAAGGTAAATTGGCATGAGTTTATAGCAGATATATTTCATAGATTCTGTGATCAGAATTATAATGATATTGTGGAGGAATTTAATAATTTAAACCAAAGATAGTCAGTAGAAGACTATCATGAGAAGTTTGAAGAATTGAAGTCTTACATGTTGCAGTATAGTCCATTTTTGGAGGAAGAGTATTTTGTTTCCAGTTTTCTGAGTGGATTGAAGGAAGAAATTAAGCACAGAGTAAAGACTCATAATCCAACCACTCTGACTGCTGCTTTTAGATTAGCAAAATTGGTTGAGTTGACTTGGGAGGTGGAAAGCAGAAAGTTGAGTTTCAACCTAGAGTGGCATCTACAGGACAGAGTTATCTATAAATCTCCTAATATCACCTTGAATCAACCACAAAAGGGAGTTATTCAGAATACTAACCAGAATAGACAATCTTTGGTGGAGTATAGAAGAACACATGGACTGTGCTACAAATGTGGTGAAAGTTTAGTCCGGACATCAATGCAAATTCAAAAAGTTGAATTCTATGGAGGAGATAGAGGATACAGGAGTTTGAGAATGTGGAACCAGAATACAATGAGCCCAAGGAAGCAGACTCTGGGAGGGAGAACTGGAAATATCTATAAATGCAATAACAGGTAACATAGGCTATAATACCTTAAGGATACAAGGTCACATATCAGGGAAACCATTGAACATCCTAATAGACAGTGGAAGCACACATAGTTTCATAACTGGGCAGTTCTAAAGAGGGAATGAAAGTGGAGCGGACATCCTTTGACCATTACAGCTAATGGAGAGAAATTATACAGTTCAGCTATGAGTAAAAACTTAAGGTGGGGAATGCAAGGTTCTCAATTTGAACATAATTTCAAAGTTTTAGCTCTGGAAGGAGATGATATGGTGTTAGGGGTGGATTGGTTGAGAAAACAGTCCACTACTGATGGATTTTAACTACATGGAGTTTTTCCAGAAAGAAGGAAAAGAGGTTACTTTAAAAGGAGGGCAGAGTTCATATTATGTTAGATTGATATCAAACAGTAAAATGCAGAAGTTGGAAAAAATAATGATCTAACAGGGGAGATTTTTATGTTAAGTGGGAATGTTAGTCATGAAGTAGTACCTGTTGAGCTAAGGGTTATTGGAGGAATACTTGGTTGTTTTTGAAGAACCAAAAGGAATGCCACCTCCAAGAGAACATGACCACTCAATCAAATTAAAAGAAGGTGCAAAAGCAGTGAATATCAGACCCTACAGGATGCCTTACCATCAGAAGTCAGAGGTTGAAAAGCAAGTAAGGGAAATGTTATCTTCTTCTATAATTCAGACCAGTAAAAGTCCATTTGCCTCACCATGTTTGTTATTAAGAAGAAGATGGAAGTTGGAGGATGTGTATAGATTAGGCAATTGAATGCCTTACTATAAAATAAGTTTCCAATTCCTGTGGTGGAAGACTTGCTAGATGAGTTGACTGGAGCAGTTTATTTTTCTAAACTGGATTTGAGATCAGGGTACTGGCAGATTAGAATTACTCCTGAAGACATTCCTAAAACAGTCTTTAGGACTCACCATGGCCACTTTGAATTTAAGATTATGCCTTTTGGGTTGACAAATGCCCCAGCAACTTTTCAGGCATTAATGAACAAGCTATTTGAGCCTTATCTAAGGAAATTTGTACTGGTTTTTTTATGACATACTCATCTACAGTTTGGATTTGGAAAGCCATATCAGTCACCTCAGGACTGTTCTGGAAGTTTTAAAACATAATCAGTTATTTGCAAAGAGAGTAAAGTGTTTCTTTGGTCAAAAGGAAGTGGAGTATCTAGGCTATATAATATCTAAGCAAGGAGTAGCTACTGATCCATCAAAATTCAGGCTATGCAGCAATGGAAATTGCCAAAAACCTTAAAATCTTTAAGAGGGTTCCTTGGCTTGACAGGATATTATAGGAGATTTATAAAGGGCTATGGGGAGATTGCTAAACCCCTAACTACTATGCTTAAAAATAACCATTTTCAGTGGACAGAAGACAGTAGAACTGCCTTTGAACTTCTAAAAACTGCAATGTGCCAGGCTCCTGTTTTAGCATTACCTGATTTCACAAAAAGTTTTTGCTTAGAGACAGATGCAAGCTCTAAAGGAATAGGAGCAGTTTTATCCCAAGATGGCATACCAGTAGCTTATCTTAGCAAGGCATTAGGACCTAAACAATTGGATCTGTCCATATATGAAAAGGAGTACTTGGCTATACTCATGGCCATTTCTAAGTGGAGGCATTACTTAGAAGGGGTTTTTTTTATTATAGAGACCCCCTAAAACATTTACTAGAACATAAATTGACTACTTCTATACAGAAAAAAGGGCTTACAAAGTTGTTGGGATTGGATTACATCATTCAGTATAGGAAAGACAGACACAACTTGGCAGCAGATGCCTTATCTAGAAAAGATGATGATGTGGTGGAATTACAACAATTAACAGCTACTGTTGTTATTCCAACCTGGGTTCAGGAGGTTGAGCAGAGTTATCAGGATGATTCAATGGCAGCAGAGATGATCACTAAATTAGCTGTTCCTACTCAAGATGCAACAGAATGGTCATATTCAAAAAGTGTCCTAAGGAATAAAGGTAAGGTCTACATTGGACAAACATGCTCCCTAAGGAAGCAAATTATAGAGGCTCTACATGATTATTCCCATGGTGGTCACTCAGAGATTCAAGCTACTTATCACAGAGTGAAGTCTTATTTTTATTGGAAAGGGATGAAGAGAATGATTAAAGATCATGTCCAACAATGTGATATTTGCCAGAGGATTAAAAATGAGCATATTTTGAAATAGGGTTGCTTCAACCACTACTAATTCCCCAACAAGCTTGGGAATTTGTTACTATGGACTTCATTGAAGGATTACCAACTTCTAACAGGTACAATTGCATACTGGTTGTTATTGATAAATTTACTAAGTATGCACATTTCATACCCCTGGTACACCCATTTATTGCAACATAAGTAGCTAAAGTATACTTGGATCAGGTGTATAAACTACATGGGCAGCCAAAAATAGCTTTATCTGACAGGGATAAAATTTTTACTAGCCTTTTCTGGACAGAACTACTTAAGCTGTTAGGAACTCATACTATATTCTCTACAGCTTACCATCCAGAAACTGATGGTCAAACAGAAAGACTAAATCAGTGTTTAGAGCAATATTTGAGGGGAATGTGTTTTATGAAACCTACTAATTGGAGTAAGTGGCTTCCCAAGCAGAATGGTGGTATAATATCAGTTTCCACACTACTTTGGGAACTACTCCATTCACAGCTCTCTATGGATATGTTCCTCCTACTATGACATGGTCAACAGAAACAAAAGTAGCAGATGTACAAAAATGGCTACAAGAAAGAGATAACATGAATACAGTCCTACATGATCGGCTTGACAAAGCACAACAATGTATGAAGCATTTTGCAGACAAAAAGCGAAGTGACAGAGTGCTACAGGTGGGAGATGAAGTTTACCTTAAGCTACAGCCATATAGACAAACATTAGTGGCGTTAAGGAAAAACCTTAAACTATCAGCCAGATACTATGGACCCTACAAAGTCACAAAAAAGATAGGGTCAGTTGCTTACAAATTACAGCTGCCTGATAAATCGAAAATACACTCTGTTTTCCACATTAGCTTATTGAAAAAGAGGATTGGAGATAAAGTAGTGACCTCTCGAGATCCACCTGAGGTTAATGCCGAGGGACAAATTCGCGTTTATCCTCACCTGGTATTAGACAAAAGAATCGTGAAAAGAAACAGCAAAGCAATTACTCAATTGTTAATTCAATGGATTAATTTGGGACCAGAGAATGTTACCTGGGAGGATTTTCATGTTTTGAAATTACAGTTCCCTGCCTTCGATCCTTGGGGATAAGCATCGACTGAAGAGGGGGTATTGTCATGGCCTTGGATGAGAAATTAGAAATAGGGAAAGAGAAATTAAGGATTGATGATGTGAAAAAGGGGAATTGAGAAAAGAGTTAAAGATTTTGAATTTACAGGAGTTAGAGATTTTGAAATTATCGAATGCTTTATTCGACGAGAGCTTGGCAGATAAGGAGATGATAACTGGGCTGAATGAGTCAACTGGACTGAAGGAGTCAACAGATAAGGAGGAAAAGGGATGTAGCTAAGCTGGACCTGGAACGATTATATTATTAGAAGGAATACCAACTGTCAATAAATAATTGGATAAGCTGAGTAATATATTGAATGTAATGAACAAAAAATGGAATTATGAATGAAAATAATGAGTATTTCTTTTCTGTAGACCTACCTTTCTCTCTATTTCTTCAATCATTTCACGCCGTTTCAGGTGAAAACTTGACATTAACGGTCATGATTAAGAAAGCAACATGGTTAAGAATGGCCTATGGGAAGATCTTAATACACGTTGCACACGCATACAATCATTATCTTCTCTGTCTCTCTCTCGTTCAATTTTTTTTTCATTCTCTATATTTATCGATAATTTATTTACATTGCTTACACCCAGTTTCTCGAATCATCAACTCGGTGCTTTTCGCTCTTACTCGGTTCCACCGAATCAGATGGCTTTTGCTTATTATTCGATCGCAGTTCCGTTCGGTGCTTCAAAGCGTACCCAAATTTCAATTCCCCCTTCTTTTTGTTCTACTGAATCTTCTTCTTCCTTAGCTTTCACTTCTTCGCGTTCTTCCCCTTTTCCTCTCTTGTCTATTTTCCCCAGAATTAACAGGATCGGACTCAAAGGTAACTTCTTTTACTGTCAGTGTTGTTGTTGGGTTTAGGGAATGTTTATAGCGAGTTGATGAATTTTGAATTTTAATTGGAATCGATTCCCCCCCCCCCAAATCTTTTTCGATAAATGATGTAGTGGCTTAGATTGAGCAAAATTTCGTTGAATGTAATTGAAACTTTAAGCTGACAATGGTTTGATTCCCATAATTGTGGCTGAACAGCAAAGGCTGAGCCTCAGGAATCTGAAGTGAATTTAGCAGCTGAACCATTTACTCAATTCAAACATCTGCTTCTTCCAATAACTGACAGTAATCCTTATCTTTCCGAGGGAACAAGACAGGTTATTTTATTAAAGACATAATATTTAAATTCTCACGGTTTCACAGCATCAGTAATGAATTCTTTCAAACAAGAAAATGACTTTGTTCTTAGAGACATAATATTAAATTTTTGAGCAGGCAGCAACTACTGCTGCTTTGGCAAAGAAGAATGGGGCTGACATTACTGTTGTGGGTATGTTCTCTGTCATATGCCAATTCCAGTTTGTATGTATTATTAAAGGACATATATGCTTGAACGTAGTAAAGAATGATGAAGCTAATTCGACAACTACCTCCCTAATAACATTCTTTCGAACTTTTTCTTAAAAATAAGTCCAAAAGAGCAAAATATTAAAAAAATAAAATTTTTAAGGTGTAAAAGTAAATTTGCCCTTTAATATGTATACTTTTTAATATTTGTCTAAGTCAGCTAGATTCCTTCCAAACCCTGCTTCAGAATCACACTGAGTTGGTTGGATGTATCTAGGGTTGAAAACGAGGAGAGTCGAGTTTAAATATTGTTGAATTATACTTATCTCGAAAAGTTTAAAATTAAGGTCAATTTAACTCGAAAATTCGCGAGTTTAAAATTGTCAAGTACAACTTGAAATCGAAATAAAAAATTCAAACTCGACTCAAACTTTAAAAAACTTGAACTCGAAATATTCTCAGACTTAACTCAATTGAAGCTTAAAATCGAGCTCGATTTCAGCTTAAATTGAACTCGAACATGAACATTAAGTACATGAAAACCTTATATTACATTTGAAAACAAAACAACATATAAATGTTATTATTTTTTGAGTTGTTCTAGAGCTTTTCGAGTCATACATCAAATAACTTGCTACAACTCGTTAAAAATTTTAGTTAAATTCAAGTTTGAGTCAAGTTCATTCGATTTGAGTGTTGACCGAACTTTGTCCAAATCAAATTCGAGTAACTCACAGTTTATCTCGTTCTATTTATAACCATATGATCATCTTGTAAGGTTGGTTTTCATAAAAATGTAAGCCCAACTTTATTAATTTCAATTTAATCGTTTCCATTTCAAGTATTTTTATTGCCAACGGCTAACATAGTTGAAATTAATTGTTGGGCAGGCAAGATATTATGTGCTAAAAATCTATTTTGGCAAGGAATCAATATTTCTTACCCAGCCGTTGGGTTTACATAAATTATGTTTCATTTGATGAAATCTGTATAATGAACGTTATGTATTAACATAGAAATATTTAGAGATTCACTTTGCCAAAATTTATATATGATGTATTTTTTTTTTATTTAAAGAATCGTTTAGAAATATGTAGAGATTTCTTGATCCATTTTCGTTAAGGTTAGTAATGGTTCAATAACCATGCAAAACTTCAAGTTTCCTTTCTTTTACACTCTGGTCCTCAATTTATTATTTTACTCTTTCGATTATCAATTAGAAATTTGAAAAGGAAGACCGATTGATTTGACCAACCCGAAATTACAATTCTTTATCTTTAAGAAAATATATCCCCAAATTTTACTTGTAATATAAACTTATTGATATTGAGGTATGTTACTAGAGTCGTCTTGTACGTGCTCTAGTTATTTTGGGCTGTCGGCTTCTTCATTTATCTTGATTTTGTTAGTTGCCTTCACATGTTACTTTTTTGATAATTTTTTAGTTCAAAATGCTACAGTCCAAAAATTATAAAAGAATTTCAAATATTTCTAAAATAATACATTTCTTTTAAGATGATTTTTAGATTTTTTATTTTACACTTTTTGATAGTGTTATGTAGTCGTTTTAATATCACATTGCTACTTTAGATGAATCTGTTAGGATAAAAATATAAACGATAAAAGAACACGTTAAGACTTTATTTAGTATGAAGGATGAAAATAAAAAAATTATAAAAAAATTGATAACCAAATAGTTAAGACTCAAATTAAAAAAATAATTATAAATTGTACTGTTTGATTAACAAATTTACATCCACACTCATTACCATCTTTTATATGTAAGTCCAAGTACTTGAAATATGTAAAAAAAAATAGTTTAAGGGTAAAAATTAACAAAAGCACATACTTTAGGGATTTATTTTATAACAAAGCCCTTTTTCATATAGAATTTTGTGAATTTTATATTTAGCCATATACCATAGATTCCATCTTATCTGATATTCCCGAGATTTTGAAGCACTTTTTTAACACTCCTTAACCAAGAAGTTACAAAGCAAGCCCTCGCAATTTTATTAACCCCATCCATCGCTGCCTTTGTTTCCATCACTTTCTATCATTGAATCATATCACATTTTAAGTGACTTACTAACCAGTGCTCTTGAATATTATTAATGTAATCGTTAATTATTATTAATTCAATGCTTTTTTATTAAATAAATTTTCAATTCATGAGCTAAATTTTCAATTCATGAGCAAAATTTTCTTATTTTAAATAATGAAATCAATTTACCTTATCTGACATATTTTCAATAAATTAAGATATAGTGGACAAGATTATCAAGTATTAAACAATGGCAGACCAACAAAATTGAGTGAAAGAAAAGAATTAGTTGCATCGTATGTTCTCAAACTATGATCAATATTTTAAATTGGTCCTTACACTTTGGAATATTTTAATACCATCCTCAAACTATGACTCTTATTTTAAGTTACTCCTTAAACTTTTAAATATTTTAATGGATATATTATTCATTTAGTACCTAAGCTATCAGTTTTGGTTCGTGTTAGTACCTAAACTTTCAATATTTTCAAAATCATACATAACATTTAGTTTTTGTTTCATTTTAGTACCTTGTCGTTAAAAAATTAACGTGTTTAGTACATAAACTATCAGTTTTGGTCCGTTTTAATACCTAAACTTTCATTTCCCCCCTAAAACTCAAGTATGGTTTTGGTACTAAACATGTTTTAGTACCTAAACTTTCAAATTTTTCAACACTTAAGTTTTTGGTACTAAAAATGAAATAAAAACTAAACTTAAGGTATGATTTTGAAAAACTGAAAGTTTAGGTACTAAAATAGTTCAAAACTGGATATTTAGGTACTAAATGAGTAGTTTACCCTATTTTAATTTCATCCCCAAAATATGACTCTTATTCTAAATTGGTCCTAAAACTTTTGAATCTTTTGATTTCATCTTCAAGTTCATCCAAACATGTAATTAATATCAATTATATTTAACCTAGATTTTATTTTTCTCAGACATATAAGGATACAACTTGGCCTAACGATTTTATTAACAATGGATGTGATTAGTATATGCATATAGTTTGGGATAAAATCAAAATGTACAAAAAGTTTGGGGACTAATTTAAAATTAAGGTCATAGTTTGAGAATAAAACTAAAATCTTTAAAAGTTTGAGGACTAATTTAGAATGAAGGTCATAGTTAAAGGATAAAACTAAAATCTTCAAAAGTTTGAGGATACATTTAGAATAATAATTATAATTTGAGGACATATGATGTAATTAACTCAAAATAAAAAGAAAATAATGAAAAATATTATTTTTTTACTATGAAAGAGTGTTTGTTAGAAAGTTATCTTAAAAAATGTTTAAAATTTATTATTTAATAAATTTGAATAATAAAATGGCTTAATACCCAAATAAGTGCCTAAACTATACTTTTTTTCAAATAGGTGGCTACAATATTTTTTTGGCCTATCTAGATGCCTAACGTTACAAATTTTATCACTTTACGAAAGTTCTGTTGTGCGGCGCCTAAAAAACGGCGTGACCGGTTAAACAAGTGACTGGTTAAAACTTAGACCGGTTATGTTATATCATTTAACCGGAAATATTATCAAGCACAATAACATATTAGGTAGCGCTTATATAATGTAATAGGTAACACTTATATAATAAAATAGACATTTAACCGGAAATATTATCAAGTACAATAACAAATTAGGTAGCGCTTATGTAATGTAATAGGTAACACTTATATTGACCTATTTTCTCATAAAACCGGTAAATTTAAACCGGTTACATTATAAATTGACCTATTACATTATAAATATCGTTTCGATGTTTTCGGGTTCGATACAATTTTAAATGTATCGACACTTTATGCGTGCAACTCGTTGTGCTTTATTTGGAAAAAGTATCGACACATATTTAAAGAGTGTCGATACATAATGTAGACCTATTTGCTAATTAACCGGTATATTTTAACCGGTTACATTATAAATTTACCTGTTACATAATAATTATCGATTTCGATGTTTCGAGGATCGATACTTATATTAACGTATCGACACTTTCAATATATCCGGTAGCTCTTTACCGGTTTTATCATTTCGTGACCGGTTTTGTCATACTTATACATGTTATATTGTTATGAATCGATACGTTTTTATAAAGTATCGACAGTTTATAGACGCTATTACTTCTTCTCTTTTAAATTCCAAAAATGTCGATACTTATTTAAATCTAATCAATACTTTCGATATATCCAGTAGCAGTTTACCGGTTTTATCATAATGAAACCAGTTTTATCATATTTTTACCTGTTATATTGCTATGGAGCGATACATTTTTCATTTGTATCGACACAAACCGACAAGCTAAGTTTGCCGGTTGCCAAATTTTTTAATATTTTCTTCATGATTTTCACTACAACATTGTTATTACTTGATATTTCCGATAGCGCTAAACCGAATTTGTTAAATATATTATAATGTATCCGGTAACGCCATATATTAGCATTCCTTTCCTGAGACAACCCCCACTTTAGGTGTAGGTCGTCAACGACGTTAATTTTCTCCGTTAAGTGACACATGTCACAATTTGATAATTAAAAAAATTATATAAAAAAAATTATATATATATTTAAAAAGAAAACACATAAATTTCGAAATAACCCCAAAACTTTAGAATTTTCATTTCAAACCCTAAACCCATACCAACCACAACCCTTTAAAGAATATCCTCCCGACCTCACCTCCCCCAGCACCAAAACCCTCTGAAATCATGATCGATTGACGAAGAATCGACGTTTTATACCTTGCGAACCCTATATGAAAATCGTGATCCCACACGATTCTAACGGCTAATCGACAACGACAACTATGGTAGAGTATAACTAAGATGATGGCAGGGACTACGTCGTGGTGATGGTCATGGTTGGATATGACGGCAATGGGTTAGTGTTAGGATTTGAGGGTTTTTGTAATTTAAAAGAAATTAGGGTTTTTTATAAATATAATAATATTTTTATTTTTAAAAAATAAATTTTAAAATTATCATATTATGACACGTGTCACTTAATGGAAAAAACTAATGACAGTTACAGTCCGAGCACCTAAAGTGATTGTGTTTGTAACAATAGGTATCTAGATGGGTAAAAAAATATTGTAAGTATCTATTAGAGAAAAAATGTATAGCACTTATTTGGTATTAAGCCTAATAAAATTAGCCTTGCGATAATAATTTATTTTTTTATAATTTTCAATTGAATTGTTGGTCAGTGTTGTTGATTATTGAAAATAATTATTTTCATGATTACGTGTCATATTTCTATTGGGTACAAACAAGGGAACCCTGAATTCAGAAGCTGCGTAACTGAGTTTTACTGCGAATCAAAGCGAGTGAAAGAAAACCATAATTAGATTTTACGGCAGTAAAACGTTACTCCTCTTCAACTTAAATTGACCAAAACGACCCGGAAAGGATACTTGGAAAAATCGTAACAATATAACAACCCCGCAAGGAGCTGGACGAAATATATTGAAATAAAAATAAAATATGAAAACAAAAATATTTTAAAAAGAAAAAAAGAGGAAAAAAAAATAGAAAGAGAGAGAGAGAGAGAAGCAGAGGTTACAGCGCCTCCATCGCTGCTCTTCTTCTTTAATCTTCGTCTCTCTTCATCGATCGGATTTTCGAATCCCTAATGTTTATTTTTTTAAAATCCTAAATTTTGCGATTTTTTGAGCCTCGAATAGTTTAACTCTCACTCTTTGTCGTCACGGATTTTGTTTGTTTTTTTAATCAAAATTTTGTTCTTTTTTTCAGTGATTTTCTCCGTCGATCAACTCGTCGATAGAGAGAAAAAAGGGAAATCGCCATTTTTGTTTCAATCGGGGTTTGCTATGGCTGCAAATACTAATACTGCTAATTTCAATACCTCCGCTGCAGTGATGCCTGGTAATCTTTCTCCCGACAGCCGTAATCAATCAAATCGTGCCATGAAGACGGCTTCTTCCCCCTGGACTGAAATGTTCCGTGGAGAAAACGACCGGATCGCGGGTATTTCATTAACGCCTCCATCCTCTTCGTCATCGCCGCCCCCAACCGCCCTGACAGAGCCTCCTGTTGCGACGGAGGATGAAGAAGAAGGCGTCGAGAGTGAGAGTGCTGGGCCTAAAGACAATGCCGGTAATAAGCCAGCTTGGAACAAACCTTCTAACGGCGATGCTAAGGTTGGGGCGGTTATGGGGACCAACAAGTGGCCTGCTTTGTCTGAGTCCGCTAAGGTTCCTTCCAAATCATCTTCAGATTCACCTCGAGCTTTTTGGGATGGATCATCTTCTTCTCCTTCCGATGTTCCAGTTTCTCAGGTTTGTTTTCCTAAAATTTAAGCCCTTCTTTATTAGTTTCTGTTTAATCGTTATAATTTCAAATATTTGTATTTCCAGCTGTTAAAATAGCTAAATTTCGCTGTTTTAACTGGAGATAATTTATTATCTGTTCGGTAAGGAAGATATTAATTGCTAAAATCTGAATTGGCAAAAAAATGCCAAGAATCTTGAATTCTTAATCCAGCTGCAGGGTTTATTTCAATTATATTCTATTTGATGGAAACTGTTTAATGGACGTTGTACGAGTATAGGAAGTATTTAGGGATTCACTTGCTCAAAATTTTTATATGAATATAATCTTGGTTTTGGGTTTGCTAGTAACAGGCGCATCACTTGCTTTGTTGACTAAATTGTAGGGAAATGGAAGTGTGTCATCATCATCGACACAGAAATCAGTCAGCAACAATGCAAACACAAGCTTGAATATGACTCCAAACCATATCACTCCTACACGCCAGAAGTCGACGAAACGAAATAGTAATATCTCAGCATTTAATGGTGGTCTCTCTCAGCCTCTGCCTGAAGGTCCTGTGGTTGAATCACCTGTTAATAGCCCCTCTTCTAGGGACTACGTACAGAGAAGTGGATTTGTATCACAGTCTCATACTGGCGGTAATGATCACCCACACCCACGGAATTCATACAGGCATCGTAATGGTGGTCCACATCCACGAGGAGATGGTTCTCACCAACAGAATTTTGGAGGCAGGCGCAATCAAGATCATGGAAATCATGAGTGGAATGGTCGAAACTTTAATAACAGAGATGGCTACATGCAGCCAAGGGCTGCTCCTAGGGTAATGAGGCATCCACCTCCACCTCCTATGCCTAATACTATACCTTTTATAGCTCATACTCCTATGAGGCCTTTTGGCACCCCAATGGGGTATCCTGGTAAGCTGTACTTTCACTTTTGTTATTGCTTTTTTGGGTCAAGGATGAGTGGCGTTCTAAGTTCGCCCATAATCTCTCTACTTTGTTTTAGATATGGCATCCCTTTATATGGTCCCAGCAGCACCTCCAGATTCACTTAGAGGTTTGTCATTTGTTGCACCAATGCCCCCAGTGTTTTTCCCAGCTCCGGAGCCTCATGACAATCAGTTGCATGCTAGTATAGTTAATCAGATAGATTATTATTTCAGGTGATGCTTTGTTTGCATGATGACTTGGGTCAACTTTGTTAATCCTGCGGCCATATCTTGGTATTTGAGGTCACCCATAAAGCTATCTGCTTGTTTCCTTTTTGCAGTAATGAAAACCTAATTAAAGATACCTACTTGAGGCAGAACATGGATGAGCAGGGCTGGGTTCCTATTAAATTAATAGCTGGCTTCAAAAAGGTGTGTGTGTGTGTGTGTGTGTTTTTTTCCTATTGAGAATTTGGAGCTAGCTTCATATGTCTGAAACGTGAAGTTCCTGCACTTTGAGATTTTTTCATGTGAAGTTCCTGTGCAAGTTTCATTTGTTATCCTTATGTAACTATTAAGTTCATAACATATATGCCTAATAGACTTGTCTGTTATTATTTTGTTACTAATTTTCGTGATTATCTTTAAAAGCAAACCTATTTTAGTTGAAGGTTCTGAAGAAGAAAAACAGATATGTGCCTCAATAAATTAATTTAGTAATAATAAAAAATGTATTTTGGTTACTATTTGTAATTAAGAAACACAGTGTTCACTTTCACGCTTGCCTGCTAGTTGAACTATTTCCTGAATTTTTCTTGATGCTTTTAGCATAAGCATTCCTATTTATTAATGACAACTGTAGAAACTTTAAGACACATTTTTCTTGACTATTATATGTGAGAAATGTTATTGGTAGTTGCACTGGTTTGTTTAGAGAATTCCAGTGAACAAAGACTCATTTAAACGCACTTTTCTACACATTTTGAATATCCTTTTCGTGTTATATTGTTTATTAATTATATTTCCTATAATTTCTGTTATTGCTGGCTCAATCTTCTATATTGGGTCTTTGACTGTCCTTATTTTATTGTGTTTTTCTTTTCTTGTGATCATAAGAGAGAACATACTTCCAATAAATTTTGATTCAGTTAATAGATCATTTTTGCTAGGCCTCTCCTTTAGATGTACTGTTATTTTCTTGCAGTCTGCGTTCTAGATGTACTTTTAAGTTTTTGGACTTGTAACCTTTTTGTTTGTGTAAAAACTATATTTTTTTTATAGAAATAGGGTAGGCCTCATTAAAAACCCCCCTTCTTAACCTCCATGTTACTACAATAACATGAAGGGCATAGGAAGGAGGAAAAGAGTGCCTAGTAATTTATTAATATCAGAATAATACAAAGCCATATCCTAAGAATCTTCTGTTACAACATAAGACTTAAAACCCCCACAAAGAACATAAATAACCAACTCAATAGCAGAAACCTAACCCATACCCTAATAATCATCCTATACCTTCTTTAGCTAATAAATCCGCTTCACAATTAGCAGCTCTCAAAATATGCCTAACAATAACATCTGTACTCTCCACTAAGGCAGCAATGTCTTTCACCAAAGACTGGAACATAGGAGTACATAAAACCGGATTTTTAATCCATTTCAGGGCAGTTAGGGAATCTGATTCGAGGATGACCCTTGGAAATGAAGCCAAAGCTTTCTCCTCCATAAACAACAGCCCTCTTTTGATAGCCAGTAACTCTGCAAGAATAGGAGGACCCCCCAATCTTCTTAGAAAACGAACCATGCTGCAGCCCTTCAGAATTCCTTATCAAGCCACCTTTGCCTCCTTTATCCCACTCCTTAGACATTGCACCATCAGCATTTAACTTAACGAAACCTGAGGGGGGAGGAATCCAGCAGGAGGAAGAAATACTACCCTTCTTCCTTCTTACCCCCAAATCAGCTAGTCTAACATCACCCACAAGAGAATCGAAGTGGATCTGAACATCTCTAAATCTCGCAACATACCATGATGCAATTCGAAAACGAACAAGGAAGAACAATAACGGACCATCCACCTTTCCATTCCCAAAAATAATTTCATTTCTGCACTTCCAAATCGACCCACAACACCGCCCTAGGAATGAACTTCCAAATGGTGGAGTTCGGGACTAAATCATCCCAAACAATTATGAAATCCAGCAGTGTCCGAGGAGCAACAAAAGATACATTCCAAGATGACAAAAATCTACTCCACACCCCTTACAACCTCGCAATGCACAAATAGATGAGAAACCGACTCTACACACTTACCACACAACGGACAACAAGAGTCTTCAATCCCTATTACTCCTCGCTTTATCAATTCCTCTCTAACTGCCACTCTCTGGTGAGCAGCCTGCCAGACAAAAGTTTCCACCCTTGGAGGAGCAACCCCTGCCCATACAATGCTGTCTCAAATGCCTTCATCTTCCTCATTACCAGCCCAATCAAAATAGCACTTAACACAAGATTTAGCTGAAAAACGGCCCTCCCCATTCCCTGTCCAAACCCAGCAGTCTTCTTGCAAGGATGATAGAGATGTAGTATTCAACAAGGACATAAGTGTCATGGTCGGAGGAGAAGAGGAAGAACGAAGGAACGAGGAGGATTTGGGAATAGAGGAACGAGGGTTAGGGATTGAGGAGAGTAATTTGGGAATTGAAATCAGAAAAGGGTCTGAAGCACAAGGGAGTCATGTGTCTCACCTATCTGATGGGTTGGAGCAGACTAAGGAGTACCAGACGAGATGGAGTGGCCCTATCAAGATGGCCCAATACCTGTAGCACCAAAAGAAGGATAAGAAGCAGTTGGTTAAGCATTCTGTTAGTACAGAATGCCAGCTGGAATTGTTAGATTTCCCGTACTAGCTAGTAACTAAATAATACCTGCTGTGTAATCAACATTTCCCTTATGAAATGAATGATGAACTTTCCTTTTCTCTAAATTCTCTCTTCTTCTATCATCTCTATTCTCGTAATCTTCTCTATTTCTCTTCAATCCATAACAATTGGTATCTAGAGCCTCAATTCCTGGCAATTTTTCAGTGGGTGTGACAAAGACAAACCAGAATATGGCTAAAACTGATTTTTCTGTACTTCAAAAACAAATTGAAGACTTGGCTGCGTTGGTGAAGCAAGGCCAAGATGATTCTAATCCACCTAAATGGTGGAAAAAGCAGGAAAGCCGATTGAATACGTTGGAATCTAAACTGGAAACAAATCAGAGATTGTGGAGCAGATCTTACAGATTTTGAAGGATAAAAAGTGTGAGCAAAAGCAAATGAATGGGGACTGCTTTACTCAACTAGAACAAATCAGTTCAGAGAATAAACAGGTAAATATTCCTAACCTTCCTAAGACTGATGGGAAGAAACCTATGTTAGTGACAGGGATGAATGAATCTCGATTTTCATATAAGATCAGTGAATCTGAAATCCTAAAATCTAAACCAGCACATGGTGACTCCACTAATGAGTTCACAGCCAAGGATATTAGGATACTTCACAATAGAGGGCATAAACTGCTTGAAAAAATGTCTAAGCTAACGTTTCAGCATTGGATAGATCATGGCAGTAATGACAAAATGTTAAGACAAGTTTTCACAGGTGGTGTTGATAAATTCATCAAATGTGAGTTCAATGTCGAGGGGATAAACCTCTACATGAACAGAACAAAAAAATGGATTAGGTTGGAATTTGCACAGCAACTTCAAAATCAAATGGAGATTCCAGATGCACTAAGAAAGAGAATCGCCCCTTATTATGATACGGGATGGAGGATGGACCACTATAAAACTCAAATTCTACAGTGCCAAAAATCTGCTATAGAACATTCCTTTAAGGCAGTGTTGACAAGTCTTTCCAAACCAGGTGGTGGCGAGTTTGGAAGGTACTACAGCTTGCCTGCCCTGAATGTTCCAAGGATTGAAACTGCCATACTCTATTAGAATCTTGCTTGAATCTGCGGTTCGTAACTGCGAAAACTTCCACGATTTCACTGGAGTGCTTGCTGAGGTTGACCTTGCTTGTATGCGTAATGCAATGCACAAACTTGACAGTGATACAATTAATCCTATGGTTACTGTAGATATTGTCATTGACCATTCAGTTCAAGTTGATGTAACCAGATCAGAAAATGCAGTGCAAGCAAACAGGAACTTGAGTTTCAGAGTAACAAGGAAAGATTTTTTTTCCTTAAGTTGGGATCTACTGGCTTTCATAAAATGCTTGTTGTTCCTCCTGGTTCTAGTATTGTGCATCAAGTTAATCTTGATCGGGCGGGTTGTTTTCAACACCAACGGAATGTTGTACCCCGATAATGTGGTTGGAACTGATTCCCATACAACTTTGATAGATGGTCTTGGAGTAGCTGGTTGGGGAGTTGGTGGTATTAAAGCTGAGGCAGCCATGCTTGGTCAGCCTATGAGCATGGTTTTACTTGGTGTTGTTCGATTAAAGTTATTTGGATATGTGCCTCAATAAATTAATTTAGTAATAATAAAAAATGTATTTTGGTTACTATTTGTAATTAAGAAACACAGTGTTCACTTTCACGCTTGCCTGCTAGTTGAACTATTTCCTGAATTTTTCTTGATGCTTTTAGCATAAGCATTCCTATTTATTAATGACAACTGTAGAAACTTTAAGACACATTTTTCCTGACTATTATATGTGAGAAATGTTATTGGTAGTTGCACTGGTTTGTTTAGAGAATTCCAGTGAACAAAGACTCATTTAAACGCAATTTTCTACACATTTTGAATATCCTTTTCGTGTTATATTGTTTATTAATTATATTTCCTATAATTTCTGTTATTGCTGGCTCAATCTTCTATATTGGGTCTTTGACTGTCCTTATTTTATTGTGTTTTTCTTTTCTTGTGATCATAAGAGAGAACATACTTCCAATAAATTTTGATTCAGTTAATAGATCATTTTTGCTAGGCCTCTCCTTTAGCTGTACTGTTATTTTCTTGCAGTCTGCGTTCTAGATGTACTTTTAAGTTTTTGGACTTGTAACCTTTTTGTTTGTGTAAAAACTATATTTTTTTTATAGAAATAGGGTAGGCCTCATTAAAAACCCCCTTCTTAACCTCCATGTTACTACAATAACATGAAGGGCATAGGAAGGAGGAAAAGAGTGCCTAGTAATTTATTAATATCAGAATAATACAAAGCCATATCCTAAGAATCTTCTGTTACAACATAAGACTTAAAACCCCCACAAAGAACATAAATAACCAACTCAATAGCAGAAACCTAACCCATACCCTAATAATCATCCTATACCTTCTTTAGCTAATAAATCCGCTTCACAATTAGCAGCTCTCAAAATGCCTAACAATAACATCTGTACTCTCCACTAGAGCAGCAATGTCTTCACCAAGACTGG